AACCTCTGACCGAGAGTGGCTTCCGTGAAGAGCGCAGCTTTTCCACCGGAGGCGTCTCTGAAATTAGAGACTGTGTCTCATCTGGAATTATCAGTTCGTCTGGAGACGAGGCTTCGGCTGGAGATGGAATATCGACGGAGATGTGACCTCAACTCGAGACAGCTCTTCAAGTGGAGACGGCGGTTCCGCCGGAGATGGTATTTCAGTCGGAGACAGTTCAGTGGTAGGTGAAGTTTCAACTGGAGACGGCTCGTCAGCCTTTTCGGCCACTTGAAACGAAAGTATATTCACCGGCTGGATTGTTGTTTCTGAGGTTTCTTGATAACGTTTAAAAAAACGCCATACCCACATTTTTTGATTACCGTCGCTTTCCAGCTGAAATTCCGGAAATTGGCGGCAGTATTGACGTAACTCCGCTCTAGAGATTTTACCACCATCGGCCATGCACGAATCGAAATACTCGAGTACCTGAGACTCGTAGCTCTTGAGCTTATGGTTAGGCCCAGCACCTGACTTTCGAAACCGTCCTTCCTCTAGCTGAGGTTCTCTAACGAAAGAGAGATTTGCGTCCGACAGCTCCTTCCGCCAGCCTAATAGCGTCCCGTTTTTCACCTTCAACTCACTAGCAGCCTCAGTCGGTGTCCAGTGTCGGTTTTGCTGCCAGCTCTTAAGCTTCTTCACCTTCTCCTCAATGGGCGTTTGGACGCACTTGCGCTTGGAAGACATAGTTCTTGCGATAATAATGAGGGACTAAACCAAAACAATCAGAGCGACCAGTAGATTTTAACCGCACTTACCGAGAAAGTTATTTAACCGGTTCAGTTGAACCGTCGTATACTGTAACTCAACTTCGTCGAGTAAACATGTAACCCGGTCGAGTAAACGTGTAACCTGGTACAGGATAAGTCGACTCGGTCGGGAAAACTTGCATTATTAAGCACTATACTGCGTAAATGAAGAGGATGTCAAGTTTCAGACCCCTTATGAACATCCTCTAGTGAAATCCATAGTCAAACTTTCGTTTATTCTTATGAGTACCCAATGTGGGTGTTTGGGGGTACCATACAAACATATCGCTATCAATGTTATTGACGTGACTGTAGCTTTATTAGAGAAAGATACTGTTCGATGTCGATATTACAATTGGGAAATTATACGATTTCATTAAACCCTTGAGCGTATACGCTTCTATTAGCTTCTAAATCGGATGGATCTGATTTGGCTCCGTGTCGTAGCTTTGATAATCCTTTAACTAGACTCCTGCAACGACGTTGCGTACGAGAATGACCTGGACAGCATCTTAGCGTCAGAGGAAGACGGTTAACTCAAAGAGTAAAGGGGTTAACTCAACACCCTAATAGGCCCTTAATATCCGAAGGAACCTACTAACGACAACCTTAATAAAAGGGG